CTAAGGAATGATGCAACCACGTCCAGGAGACAGGGAAGCATGTAGTCGCAGTAGGTACAACCAGGAGGAAAAGAGAGACATACTTGGTATACTCAAGAAAGGGGACTGGGCTGGCAGGAGAACCCAGGAGGTGTGGGTTAGTCTAGATGCACACTGTTCTTGGTTTCTTCTGTGTGATTCTCTTGCAGTCAGGTATCCAACATTGAATGGCAGCTCTCTGGACTCTAAAATCCTAGTGTTTGTGAAATTCCAACATGGGAAGCTTTCAACCAGTATGGAGATAGGAACAAAGCCATCCTACCAGTGAAACCCTTGCCTCGTGGGTGGTTGTGCTCCAGTCCCCTGGCTCACAATCACCACCTCCTCACAGTGCTCATTTCTGCCCACAGACCAACCCAGCTGGCTCCCATGGCAGGTGAGAACCAGACTCATGTGACGGAGTTCATGCTCCTGGGCTTTTCCCACGGCCAGCCCTTCATCTTTGTTCTTTTCCTGGCCATTTACCTGGCCACACTGCTGGGGAACTCTGCAATACTTGCCCTCGTGTCCCTGGATCCCATCTCCACAGCCCCATGTACTTCTTCCTCAGTCACCTGTCCTGATTGGACATTTGCTACTCATCAGTAACAGTGCCCAAGATCCTGGCAAATGCCCTGCGCCCGCAGGCAACCATCTCCTACCACGGGTGCCTGGCACAGATGTTCTTCCTGATGGGGTGTGCGGGGGCCGAGTGCGCACTCCTGGCTGTCATGGCCTATGACCGCTACGCAGCCATATGCCAGCCCCTGCGCTACTCCCATGCCATGAGCCGGGGTGTCTGTGTGGTGGCAGCAGCCAGCTGCTGGCTCTGGGGGATGCTGGACTCGGCTGTGCACACCCTCCTGGCCTCCAGGCTCTCCTTCTGTGGGGCTGCCCGGCTCCAGCACATCTTCTGTGACGTTCCCCCACTGCTGAGGGCTGCGTGCAGCAACACCCGCCCCAGCGAAGTGGCACTTCATGCTGCCAGTGTCTTTGTGGGCCTCAGCCCCTTCCTGCTTGTTGTCATCTCCTACCTCTGCATCCTGGCCACCGTCCTTGGGATGCCCATGGCCACCGGCCGGCACAAGGCCTTCTCCACGTGCTCTGCCCACCTGCTCGTGGTTGCCCTGTACTTTGTGACATCCAACCTGAACTACAACCGGCCCAGCTCCGGCTACTCCCTGGCAGCCAACACACTGGTCTCCGCACTGTACTGCATTGTCACCCCCATGTTGAACCCCCTCATCTACAGCCTCCGCAACCAGGAGGTGTGGGAGGCCCTATGGAAGGCTGTGCGGGGACGGGACATGGCGGGCTCCCCAGGCAGCAATGCATGAGCAATACCAGGGCTGCAACAGAGTGCTGGTGTGGCGTCAGCGCAGCATTGCCTGTCTGTGGGAAATCTTTGGTGGCAGCACTGGGCTCAGGGCTCCCTGCCCAGGCAGTGGCTGCTTGTGGCACACTGCCATCACTTGTCTGACCCTCAGCACATCACTGATGGCAGAATGGCAAAAGCAAGTTGGGAACAAGGCTACAGTTCCAGGATTATGTCTTTATTTTGCAAGTGTCGTGCTGAGCTCAGCACAGGACCTGTTGCAGCTACACTGCTACCGGGGAATGCTGTAAAAGGCAATTTCATATGGCACCAGACACATGCTGGCCCCAAACAAGGCTGTGAGCTCTGCCTTGGGGCTGCCCAAGGTACTGAGCCAGGCCCTGCATGGGACAGGGGGCAGTGTCTTGGATTGCAAAATCTGGCCTCTGCAAAGGGGCTGTCACACCATCTTCCTTCCACACATGCTTTGGCACTGGGTCTGATGTCTGCTGGGTTTCTCCAGGCTGCCATGAAAGCTCTGTAGCATTTTGTACATTAGCACAGCAGCCAGCAGTTTAAACAGGCCACCCATTATTCTCAGTGCTTTGGTCAAACAGCAAGTGAGCTGTGAGCTGGCATTGCTTAAATCCTCACCAGAAATGCTTGCTTTGCTTTATAGCCATACAAAAATCAAAATGCAGTTGTTGTGAGTGGTGTGGCTGTGGACGATAGTGGCTGAGGGCTGGCTGGTGATGTGGGGCAGCCAGCTTCATCCCGCTGCCACTGCCTCAGCTTAACCTCTTCTTGCTGGCCAAATCTGCAGGCAAGTACATGAGGGCCAGCAGTGTCCAATGCCATGACAGAAGCCAGGAGCAGCCAGCCACCAGTGCAAGAGTCTGCATGGGGAGGGAAGCTGGCACAGGCTGTGCATGCAGGTGCACACCTGCAGCCACAGCAGCATTTCTGCAGCTGTGCCACATAGGGGCACGTTGGCTGGAAGGGGCCAAAAACATGCTCATCCATTGCTCAGTTACCAAGAGATACCCAGGAAGATCCAGTCTGTTCCCAAAGAAACCTACTGGAGAGTCAAAAAATGGGCCTATGAGGCATACAGCTTGTTGGGAGCAGTTTGCCAGTTCTTCTTAGCACACAATACGCACTGATTTTATTCTTCATGGGAAAAAATGTTTCTGTAACCCACATGTTGTGATGGCCTGTTGCTCCTACCCAAACAGGATACAAGCCTCTCAGCCAGCTCTACTTGCTATACACCCTTCTTGATTGTAAAAAATTATTGAAACACACCTAGTTCAGAGTCTCACTAGGACACATAAGAGAGTCTGCCACAATGAGGCCCATTCTGGAGAGCCTCCTGGAAAGAAACATCAGGAAATAAAGGAAAAAATATTGGGAAAGTTATTTCAGGGAAGAACAAAACAAAACCACCCAAACCAATCAACCAAACAAAAACCCAAACCAAAAACCTCCAGAAAATTTACATTAAAATTGACAATTTATAACCTGAATCATAATGTGTCTTTCCCATGATTGACAGACACAGATTGTGATATTTCTTAGTATCAAACACTGAGCAGGGATGCTGTACTACCTTCCAGGTAGTACAGCCTTGTTCAAGTGCAGGATGGTCCAGAACCAACCTGTGAGCTACACTGAACTCTAAAGGTGTCACAGTGGGACCCTCTGCACCCCTGCTGTTGGCAGCTGGCACTGCACTGGGGTGTGCTCCTGCAGCTTCTCACATGCTGTGCTACTCAGCGTGTCCCTGATTTATTCTTATTGTGATGGTACTTGCATACCACAAAGGAACAACAACCAACTACAGTGGCATGTTGAGCATCTAGCCTGGAACATACTGGTTCAAGGGAGGGCTTCGGTTTGCATTGGATTATTACTGAAAACTGCTTCAAACATTAAAAATAAAAAATTTCCTCTTGTCCTGCTTCCCACCTGCTCAGCCTTTTCCCCACATCTGTGATGAAGGAAGGCTAAGGGGCCCTTTTCACTGTGCAAGGAACCAAGCCTACAACAGACACAGGGGACATGTGCTGTCACAGAATAACCGGGATGCAATTTTAGTCAGGCCAGAACAGAAGCAGTTTATTACTACGGCTATGAGGGAGAACACAGCACAGCAATGACAGTCACTGCTGATACGAACTCTGCCCAAATGGGGCAGTTACAGAGTTTATATACCTTTAGGTTATGCAACTCATTCTTCACCAAACTGTGTCAGATAAGCAGGATATTGTAAATAACAACAGCATTCTTCAGATAAGGAGGCTCTAGCCAGCACACCCTTTAACAAATAATTCACTCCTTTGTTAATTAAACTGGTGAGACCATTACTTGCAAATATTTCTTAACTAGTGAGTCCTGCAAAGGCCTCTGAGGCATTAACTATTTCACTGTCACACTGGGAAGGCCTGAATTCAGCACAGGGACTCAGACCACCCAACAGCAGACAGAACAGGCTGAGCCAAATACTGGATGGGGGAACCTACCTACCTTTAGCACTGACTGCAAGGCACACTGGAGCCCTTAGGCTAGAGACAAGCTGTGGAACTGCTCTTCCAGTCCCACCTGCATGTGTATGCTTATTTATACTGTCAGAGCAGTTAACAGGAAAAATGGAGCTCTATTAAAAATATTCTACTGCCTGTATCAAGCAGTAATCAATCTGATTCATTTGGTAGATTGAAAGGATTTCCCTGGCAGAAATGGCTGATGGGCTGCCTGGGTGAGAACCAAGACAGTTATCAACATACTCTTTGTTAAGTGAAGCCTTTTAGTATTTCTCTGTTGCTCCAAGACAGATTTTCCAGAATAATTCTTCTCAGAAAATAATCTAATTTTTACACTTCCTTTTTCAAGGTTTACTCCAGAAATGACACATCTCCCAACAGCATTCTGGCACACAGAGGAAAACCAAGTGAGTAATCTCCTATCTTAGCAAGATCATCCTACATTTTCATTGAGCCAGCACACACTTCTCTTGTTTAATGGAACAAGCTCACTACAGCCAAGCTTGTGTCTGTGTGCAGGAAAAGTCAGCAGTGTTCACTGTGATGGTCAAATGTTCCCAGGCCCCAGCCCCGAAATCTGCCCAGATAGACCAGGTTCATGTTTCTCTACCCCATGCTGCAGACACAGTTCATCCTGCAAGTGGAAACCCTTCTTGGGAACAAAGGCAAGTTTGACTTTCACAGTGCTCTTTTCCTTGACCCCTGGGTAGGATGAGATCCATGGCCACAGCAACTTAAAAAGGTCCCATAGCTCATGTCCCTTCTGCCTTGACTGGATTAGAGTTGGTGTGTCTTTTCTGTGAATTGCCCTGTTAGGAACAGGAATGGACATACGTCTCCTGCAAGCTTGCTGGTTGACACGTGGGACAGCCTAGGTAGAAAAGATGTCTTATATCGCACTCACATGCTCTTAAACCATCCCACCTTTCCCATCTGGAAGTGGATGGGAACCAAAGTCCTCTTGGGCACAGGCCAAAACATTCCCTCAGACACTGCCAGTTTGCTCCTTGCTATTTCTTGCATGTAGACATGCCAGACTGAGCCAAATTAAGCTAATAACACATAAAAGGCTGAAGCAGAGAGAGGCGAAAGTTTGGAAGGCAGCAGCTTGGACAATGCTGGTTTCACTGCAGAAGCTTCACATAATTTGCTGGAAAGAGGCCTACTTTGCCCCGGCACTGCCCCCGCCACCAGCCTTCATCTACCATCTCGATGTGTGTGATTGTGTCATCAGGATCAAAAGAAATCTCATCATCTCCATCTGCAAAAAATGTTCAGAAAAGATAGTCACAATGCAAAGATAACCCCAGAGAGAGATAGTTTTACATCCCTCCTCCCACCCCCCCAGGAGGAGAATACAAAACAAGCATTCTGATAACCCCCAGAGTTCATCTCATCCAACCCCCATCAAACAGCACAGATAAAGCAGAGAAAGAGCAAGACTTCACAGACAAAAGATGAAGCTTCTGTGTTCCCAAGTCAGGTCTCATTCTGCTTTCCAAGAGGAAGAAATTTAAACCACCAAGTCAAAATCTTTTCACCACTGCTGATGGTGTAAGCCACCACCTCCCCATTGCATCGCCCTGGCCAGCTCCCAGTGCCTCTCCCCACAGCCTGGATGGCAGACCCACCTCCTTGGTAATCATAAAGAGCCACTGCACAGGTCCCAGGGCTCTCCACCTCATAAACATTGTCCATTTCCCCTGTAGAAGACAGAACAGGCAGATGAGAAAGAGGGTGAAAGCAGCCATATAGATCTGGTCAGTGCCACCCTCCACCCAGCTGTCAGCCTTGGGGTGAACCACATCCAAACCCTATCAACAGGGAGAGGTGTACCATGGCTCAAAGCAAGGTATGACTTCCCGCCCCTTCTGCAAGGAGAGAGGCAGGGTCCTGATGCTTCATGTTCCTCTCCCAAGAAAAAGGCTGGACATAACTCCAGCCTCTCCACTTACCATCTCCAGTACCAGCAAAGCTGCAACAGAAACATCAATAGCAGCCCATGCAGTTTGCTTATGTGCTTGGAGGAAGACCGCCCTGCACTCCTCACACCCAGGAGACATCACCAGATCAGGTCTCATGAGCATCAGCCATCTGAGCGACAGGCTGAATTAAGAGGTCACCCCCAGGCCTCAGTGCAGCACTGGCAGTTGCTTGTCAGGAAACAGTGCACCAAAAGCATCAGCCCAGGTCCAGCTTCTTCAGAGCCCACGGCAGCCCTCTGGTCCTCCTGCCTGAGTCCTGCTCCAGCAGAGATACTTGCTGCCTGGCCCAGAATCCCATGCAGCTGATCTCACACCTTGGAGCCGGGCAAGGGAATGGGAGACGACCAAGTCTCCATCATCATGGGCTGCTACCCTGACCATGGTAGACTTCAGGATACAAATTCCCTCTGGAGTCTGTCCCATACATCCAATGAGGTGAGCAGACAGATACAAGCTCCCCAAGACATGGGCTCTTCCATCAGTACTCACCCAGGTGGGGCTGGCTCTGGCTGGGCTCCTCAGGAAGGATCTCCTCATAGTCCTCACCTCCATCTCCTCCATGGTCATAGATGGCATCCACCTTTCCCAAGGGTGCTGGCAGCTCCTCATAGTCAGCACCTCCATTGGTACTACCACAGTAGTCAGAAGGCTCTGGCAGCTCCTCATAGTCTCCACTGACATCCAAACTTTCACTGTAGATGGGCTGATCCTGGCTGGGGATCTTGCACAGCTCTTCGGACAAATCTGCTGGCCTTGGTGGCAAAGTGGGTGGTGTTTCCTCATCCTCCCTTTTTGCTTCCTGCCATGAAGTGAGAAAGTGACAGGAAAGTCATCTGCAAAGCATCCACTGCAGGCAGCTCTCCCAAGACTGCACAGCATCCAACACAAGGGAGCCCGCTCCATGCCGGGTGCCTTTAGTGTTACCATGACACAAATGGAGCATCATCCTCTGCACAACAGGGAAACAACTCAGCCATTAGGTCTGTGCTGAACTGGCACCTGGGATTGATGTGAAGACACTCATGGCTCGTGTATTTGAACCTCTCTCACATACTTAGCTACAGTTCATTGTACTGCCACTGCACTGACCCACTCCAAGAGCCCGTCTCATGGTGTAAGGTGCTGTGCAGCCACATCCCATCACCATCCCAACGTTTCCGCCCTCACTCCTTCCAAAGCCTCTCCCACGCTGTGACTGCACCCCACTTCTTCCTGCAGGGCTGCCCGTAAAGCACAGCCCCCTCTCAGGTGCAATCCCCTCTGCCTGCTCCCCTTCCTGGCTCTCCCCAGCCCGCCTTGGCACCTGTTCTCCTTGTGACACAGGCCTGTCTCGGTCAGCACTCCCAGGCACCCTTGCTGGCACAGTGGTAGGGGCTCCCTCTGTGTGGTCCTTCTCTCTTTGTGGGATTTCCTGCTGGAGAAAGGTCATCAGATCCCCTCAATCCCTTTGAATTAGGTCCAGAGCAATGTCCGTTCCCATTCCCAACAGAGCAACTCAGAAAATTTTCCTTCAGCTGAAATCTGTTACAGCTCCCATAAACCTGCCCCAGGGACTGGACACTAGCAGGCCTGTAACAACTATGGGGTCTGCAGAAAGTAGCCTCAAGGAGGGAATGTATCAGGGAATGCTTTATTGGTGAAACCTCATCTGCATATTGAATACAGAAACAGCACAATGTAGAAGGAGGTCTTGTAAACATGAGGGTTTGGATGCAATCTCCAGTTTGGAAAACCCTGAATGCAGACTGCTGGGATGGCAATATTGTGGAGGTGTGATTTCCCTGTTTGCCAGGCACTAGAGGCAAGAAGGAGCCTAGGCCAAAGCACAAGGGGTCATGGCTGGGTGCAGGCATGTCCTGATGTGTGTGCCGAAAGGGAAAATCCAGTGATAGCTGTGAAGTTCAATGGCAGTCCCTGGAAGTTGCAGGAAAGCAGTTTAGGCAAGAGGTTACTGTAAAGAGATCAGGTAGAAGGACATGGAGCTGTATGGCCCTGAGGAAAAGTGTGCTTCGCAAGCCTTGGAGGACATGGCAAGATGGCTACGGCTCACCTTCCACCGAGCTGCCTGGCACTCCCGAGCCTGCCGCCTCACCCGGTCCTCCTCTGACTGCCTTCTGCTCTCCTCCTCTGCTGACTTAGCCATGTTTTCAAATCGTGACCGCAGGCTGCTGGTGCCACTGGAAGCTCCTGTGGAGAAGACAGCTGATCAGGCCTGCCCAATGGCTCCCTTCCACCACCCCAAGCATCCAGGAGAAACCCAGACCTCTGCCTCTCCGAGAAACTTGCAGTTCAGCCACCTTCTCCTGCCCCTCAACACACATTAAATCCATATCACACCACAGCACATGCCTGCCAGTGTGCTGCCACAGAGGGACCATGAGGCCCACAGCTTCCCACCAAGCCCAGGGCTGGTACTCAGATGTCTTACCTGCCTCCAGTGGTCTTGTTTTCTCATATGAGAAGGTGGGAGCTGCCATCTCATTAAAGCCAGCAGCACTCTGCAAGATGAAGTGAATGAATCATAGAATCATAGAATCATTGAGGTTGGAAAAGACCTCTAAGATCATCGAGTCCAACTGTGACCCAACAC